CATTGCCGCCACAGCATCATGCAAAAAAAACACTTAGAAACCCTAGCAACCACATAATCCCCTAGCAACCACATTACAACACACTAAAACCACTGAGAAGATCTTAGCAACCATATACTGTAGCAACACCCTAGAAACCACTCAGAACCCACCACAACCCCATAGCAACATGCAAAAACTCAGAAAACAACCATATAAACAACTATATAGCAACCACCCAGAACCCACTGCAATCATATAACAAAAAAAAATACTCAAAACTACTCTAGAAAAACTACTCAAAACACCAGGGGGGCCTAATGGTTAGAGAGTCGGACTTGTAACCTGAAGGTCGCAGGTTCGACTCTCAGGTCCGGCAGGAATTGAAGGTGGGGGGGAGTGAATAACCAGCACTCTCTCCACCTTCAATACCACGACTGAGGTGAGACCCTTGAGCAAGGCACCAAACCCCCAACTGCTCCCCGGGCGCCGCAGCGTTGGATGCCCACTGCTCCGGGAGTGTGTTCATGGTGTGTGTGTGTGTTCACTACCGTGTGTGTGCACTTGGATGGGTTAAATGCAGAGCACAAAAAAAAGGCCACATGTCACTTTCACTTTCACTAACAGCAATGCCTTCGCAACCACCCAGAACCCAAGCAAACACACTAAAAACCACTGAGAAGACCCTACATAGCAACCATATAGTAATGCCGTAGTACCACCCACAACCCATAGCTACAACATAGTAACAAACCAAATCCACCCAGAACTCAGAGAATCATAGAAACCATATTGAAATGCCCTAGCAACCACCCAAAACACACAGCAACAACATTACAGCACATTAAAAAAATTATGAGAAGACCCTAGCAACCATATACTGTAGCAACACCCTAGCCCCATAGCAAGATGTGAAAAACCAGTCAGAAAACCTTAGCAACTATATAGCAACACCCTAGCAACTACCCTGAACCCATAACAACACAATAAAACCTATTCAGATCACCCTAGCAACCACCCAGAAACCATTTCAACAACATACCAACAGACTAAAACCACCCAGAACCTTTAGCGACCACATGGCAACACATGGAAAATCACTCAAATCAACCTTAGCAACCCCATAGCGACAGAATAAAAATGCCCCAGAACATCCTAGATTATTGCAGCAAGTTTTGCATGGGGAAAGTCATTCACGTTCTCAATAAAATGTTACTATAATTATTATTAATAATAATTTAGTAAAAAAACAATTGTTTCCATTATACCACAGTACAGATCATAAAACATACATACACTAAATATAAAAGCATTCTTTTGTCTGTTGTGTTGTCCCACTAGATGAAGTGCTGTTTATTCTATCCTCTGCTCCTCTCTTTCTCTCAGGCCATGCATAATGCAAGATAGCCTTTCCATTCCGCTTCCTCCTGCCATGCCTGTAAAAATAGACCCGTGGCGTGGAGGTCCACACCATTCCTGCTTCGTTATTTTATCATGCATACTCCTGTCTTCCACAATGCAAGCGATCGCATCAGAGCTATACGTCAACTTCACGACAGATGTGTTTTGTAAATGTGAGATGATAAGGTGTCTGGTGAGCTGTGGCTGCAAATTGTCACGCGGAGAAATTGATGTCTGTCTGTTTCCATGGTTCACGTTTAGTGGGTATTTTTCAGAGAAACATTTATCCATGTCAAGATAAATCTTGTGATTGAATAGATATGTAAGCATACAACATCCATTTGGAAGGAATGACAAGGAATGTTCAAGATTCAAGGCATTTATTGTCACCATTATGAAAAGTGATTTTGGCAAGCAGAACTTTTCAGGGTCTTTTCTTGGTTCTGGAGCTACAAAGACAAATGTAGCCTGAACCATAACTATAACCTTAACCCTAAAATCTGTCTAGTTAATGAAAATGTTATTCTTGGACCAACAAATTGTTGATGCAAGATCATATTCTACTTGGTGTCCACAATAGGCCTACTCTCTTACAAAAACATACTGTGGTGGTCCAATGGTATAATGAATGAATTACATTTACTTTTACAAATACCATGGTACTGAAATTATGTTTATAAAATGATATACAGTGGGGAAAAAAAGTATTTAGTCAGCCACCAATTGTGCAAGTTCTCCCACTTAAAAAGATGAGAGAGGCCTGTACTTTTCATCATAGGTATACCTCAACTATGAGAGACAAAATGAGGAAAAAAATCCAGAAAATCACATTGTAGGATTTTTAAAGAATTTATTTGCAAATTATGGTGGAAAATAAGTATTTGGTCAATAACAAAATTGCATCTCAATACTTTGTTATATACCCTTTGTTGGCAATGACAGAGGTCAAACGTTTTCTGTAAGTCTTCACAAGGTTTTCACACACTGTTGCTGGTATTTTGGCCCATTCCTCCATGCAGATCTCCTCTAGAGCAGTAATGTTTTGGGGCTATATATATACACACACACACACATAGTGCTTAACAAATATATTACACCACCACCCAACATAAGGTTTGTGCCACAGCTGCCATAAACTAGCAGTATCGGTGATCAACATGGTACTTCTTTATATTTTGTAGTAAATAATATTTGATTAACATATAGCCTTTACCTTTACCATGGTAGGCCTGTTTACTTTGTACAAGAACACGGTGTAACTTTTTAGTTTTTTTTGGAGTAAATACCAATGAATTTCCAGTACCATAATATTACAGGATTCTATTAGGATTACAGTATTGATATTGCCGCAGTAGCCTACTGCTTTGCAAGACATCAAAAAACAAAACAAAACAGCAATACTTTGGTGCCATCATATTATTAATATATATCATATTAATATTGTATTACTTTATTAATATTATTTCGATATAAATTATTCATATATTAATGTTATCATATTCATATACCGTGGTATATCAGACTGGCGAAAAACCAACATGGTAATACCATGATAACTTCTGGTCTTTTGTTGTTAATTCATTGTACGACAAGATTTAGTTTGACTTTAACCAACCTAGACATTTACAAAAAAACATCCCAGACAACATTTTGATCTGTAGCTGAATAATTCGAGTTTTTTTAAGAACCGATTTTTTCAATTTAAACTCTAACCCTAAATATTGAATAATGATTTTGTTGATTATTTAGGCTTGTCATATGGTATATCAGACTGGCGAAAAACCAACATGGTAATACCATGATAACTTCTGGTCTTTTGTTGTTAATTCATTGTACGACAAGATTTAGTTTGACTTTAACCAACCTAGACATTTACAAAAAAACACATCCCAGACAACATTTTGATCTGTAGCTGAATAATTCGAGTTTTTTTAAGAACCGATTTTTTCAATTTAAACTCTAACCCTAAATATTGAATAATGATTTTGTTGATTATTTAGGCTTGTCATTTCCTTCACCCGAGGGAAGATGCATCATTCTGTTGAGTGAAATCCTTCACAGGGAATCTTTTAGAGGCATCTGAGCTTTTTTACTCCCTCAAGGTCAATAACTCAATATGTCTGTGTGTCTGTGCGTGTGCATCTGTACGTGCACATTTGTGAGATATTGGAGTGCACGGAATGACAAGTCAAAATAGCCAGAATGAATTGTGAATCTGTGCACACAAATCTGATCCATCAATACCAGTGAGTGCATTTTCCATAGTATTTTGTGCAAAAAAAGAGTAACCTTCCTGATTTATTATTATATATCAGATGAGTTTCTCACATCCCTTGGGATCCTACACACCAGCTGTTACAGCTCAGGGTCACCCCCACTCACTTCACACACACACACACACACACACACACAAATAGAGCATGGTCCATGTCACACTAAAAGCACAAGGGTTTATGGTAGTGTCAGCAAAGCACTACTGAACAGATAAAACAGCTGAAATAGGTTTCTAAGGGACCCTGAAAATACTGCCTCGTTGAACAGAGGCTGTGGGGCCCGGCTTTCACACAACCGCCAATCAAGGCCCGTGTGATTGTGCGGCAAGAGCGCTTCTAGCACCTGCATCAGCACGCTCTTTCATGCGGCAAAGATGTGGTGCTTCTCTCCAATGTGCTGGATGTGTGCACTTTACAGCGGAAGGTGCTAATTAGCATCTATTTTCATTCATCTTGCTGACTGCCATATTGTCAGACTGACTGAAATCTGACATTATTGTGCAGTGTATAATAAAGTGGCTTTGAGGTCTCTCTCAGCGAGATTCAGAGGTTAATAAACATTTCAGATTAGATGGACATTTGAAAGTCTCTGATGCTGTTTTGGCTTGGAGACCCTCAAGGGAAACCGTATGGGTGGTCTGCCATCTGCTGTTCACAAATAGACATGCATGCAACATGTTGAGAGAATTTTTAGTTCCTTTAAAATACCGCAACGATACGATTCATGATGCATTGCTCTGATTTCATATGAATATTTTAGCATGGTTACTGTAAATATTATAGAATTCCAGTTCCTTGTTCAGGATGATGGCAAAAGCTCTATAAAAAGGAAACAAGTTACAATAATTTATCATAAATCATAATGCAGACGCAAGTACCATGTTCTGTGCATTTAATATTTAAATGTCTATTGTTGATTTATAGACTCATGTTTACAGAAAACATTAATATGTCATTGGTAACAACTGTAACACAAAAAGAGCCTCATTTTGAATCAGTGATTAATTAAGCTACAGTAAATCACTGTAAAATGTTACGTTTTATTTTCTCTCCCCCCTCCCACAATTGTCTGTTAGTTTGAACATTATTATTATTTTAGCATTTTATTGGGTCTTGGGGCTTTTGGAAAGCAAACAGGTGCATTAAATGGTCAGAATTGATCACATTTGTTTAATTAAAAAATATATATGGCAAACCTTTGCATTTACTATAAATGGGTTCAGACCCAATTTGTCAATAACAATTAAAAAAATCTATCAAATAAACTACATTGAAATAAAAATAAAAGACATGGAATTTTGATCTTAGTTCAACTAAAATTTGACTAATCTGAATAAGCAATCATTTCATCAAAACAAGACCAAAAACAGTAATAACCCATCTGAACATGGAATCAAGACTCCGAAGCATTTTCCGTGAGATAAACAGCTTTATACAATCATCTGTGCTGAAACAAAAAAGAGAAAAACCCAAACGTGGAGCTCTGAAAGCTGTTATCCAATCAACAGTCACATGTTTTCAGAGCACGTGAACGGTGCAAACTCGAAGTAGTACAGAAAGCTTTAGTAACGAACATCAGCAGAAAGCCAGAACGTATGTGTGATCTCAGTCTTTAGAAAGGCAGGGAACATTTAAAGGAACAGTTCACAAAAAAATGGAAATTCGGACATCATTTACTCACCCTCATCCACAAGATTTTCTTTCTTCCAAGAAACACTGGACTTTTATACACTCCCAGTCTCTATTCACTTTCACAGTATCCGTCTGGACAATCTGTGAAATACCTTTTCTATTCCACAAAAGAAAAAGAAAAGAAATGCATTTAGAACGGCACGAGGGTGAATAAATAACAGAAACTGAACTACTCCATTAAATCTCCAGATAAACCATACATACATATTAAACAATTTGCATCTTCAAACAACAGAAAGCGTAATTGTTTCCTCATTGTATAGACCTTTTTATATTGTGTGTAAAACATCATCGTGAAAACGCTACTCTAAAAAGTCCAATTAAGAGGAACAATTGGGGCATCCAAAAAAGGCTTTTATTATCATCATTGTTTTTTAATAAATGTTTTCCTTTTTTTAATCAAACAAAACGTGGACGGGACAGTCTACGGCAGCCCTAAACCTTTGGTACATTCAGCACAAATATCAGCACGCCACTGTAAAACCTTAATACAAAAACGCAGATCTATCTGGTTTGTATTAGTGATCTAACCGGCCATAATCAAACTGACAAAGATGATATGCTCGTGTTTGTCTTCATTGCCATTCCAAAAGTTGATGGAGCTCATAAAGCCCCATGGCAGTTTCAACTACACCAGTTTTCACTGGAAGCGATATTAACTCCTTACACAAAATTCAGATTACAAAACATTCAGAACCAGAGTACAATCCAGCGTCCCGCAGCCACGGCAGTGTTTCGTAAAAGGCTGGGTTGACTTACCGCAAATGGAAAAGTCTGGAATGTATTGATATGGTTTTGCGGGCTTGATATTCCAGTTTCAAATCATACAAGAAAGCACTGTGACTCAACAGAAGAGAGTGAAAAATGAAAAGGAGATTCAAGAAAGCTGCGTCTGCAACATTAATGTCACACTAAAGCTATATAAGGATATGGAAATAATAATCAACATGTCAACATGAAATGGCAACGCAAGCTATTTTACTCCATTTAAATCAGAAAACGTTATTATATCACAATGAAGAGTATTAGTAACACAAATAGTGTCTGACTTTGAGTGTTTCTGTAGCTTCTTTCAGTGGGTATGTGACCGCTCTATTTGTTCAAATGTCACCGGAAATAAAACCGTGTTATCTGAGGACAACAGAAAGGCCAAGGTTGGACTATAAAGTCAAAAAATCATCTATTGTTGATTTTTTTTTTTATCATTTGCACATAGTGGTCACATTCATGATGTTGTAACATGCCCTTTGAAAACGTTGCGTGTGAGAGTATATAAACAACCCAATTCATTCAAAAGTGTCACATATCTAACATGACAGCTACTTGGACAGCATACGGTGTCAAAACAAACATATGAGAAAGACTAATGTATAAATATGACAAAAAGAAGAGAGAACATATACATTTCAATTCAGTATAGAGGGCAGCGCTGTCGTGTGTGATAGTGTTTGAGGCGATCTGAAAAAGCTTTCACAACACAGTATTTGTTCATTCACGCTGCATTTTGATGCTCCGTAGAAAAGTCTTTTTTTTACAGATAAAAAGAGAGTGAGAATATCAAAGTCCTTTGGGTTTGTTTTGTTCCTCATTTGAATCAGTTAGTCACTCAGCTTTGCATTTGGCTGGTCACATCCTCCTCGATTCATCCAGAGCCCATCAATGTTTGCGTCTGAGAAACATTCAGACAACATCCTCGCTTCTCTCAGTCCAGTCCAGCTCACTGATCGTTTTCTGTGTTTCTTTCCAAGAAAGTATTTTTAAGTGATACGGTGTACAAAATATATGTCTAAGTGCTTCTGGTGTCTGTTTTAGATGGTTACCTCCTTTGCTCTTCCTGACGGGTCGTGGAAATTAAGGATATTTGATCAGCTCAAAGTGCAAAAATCAACATTCACTCCAAACCGAAAGTGCTGGTTTCCTCCACTGCCGTCAGCATCTTCTCGTACAGCATGGAGAACGAGGGGTACGGGGGGAGGTCCAGACGATTGAAACATGTGTGAGCTCTACAACGACAAATAAAGACAGGAAACTTCATTTTCTGATCATATAAATTTCCAAACAATTTTTGAGCGACTGTATTATGAACTGCAGGATTGTGCCATCTTGTGGATCACATAAGCAATGACATCTGTGGGGGGGAAAATTGTTTATTTGGGACAAATGTGCCATTATTGAACTTCATTTGGGTAGATTGTTTGTAAAATTCGAACAATGATTTTATTTAGTTTTTTATGTAATCTATCTGTTTTTGTTCCTAGATTCAGTGCCAACAAAGTATGAAACCAATTTAGAAATACATAATATAAATATATAATAGACATAAACATAAAAACATTATAAATAGATGCATATAAAGTATTTTTTTTTTTATTATTTTATTTGTATTTTTAAAGAAATCAATTAATACTTTTATTAAGCAACGATGCATTAAAATGTTCAGAAGTGACAGTAAAGACATTTATAATATTACAAAAGTAATACATTTTTATTTTAAGTAAATGCTGTTCTTTTCAGCTTTCTATTCATCAAATATTACTGAAAAAAATTGATCACAGTATCCACAAAAATATTAAGCACTTCAACTGTTTTCAACATTGATAATAATAATAATAATAATAATAATTCTTGATAATTAAATCAGCATTATCAGAATAACTTCTGAAGGATCATGTGACACTGAAGACTGGAGTAACTAATGCTGAAAATTCAGCTTTGCATCAAATAAATAAATTACATTTTAAAATATATCAAAATAGAAAATAGTTATTTAAAATTGTAATACAATTTCACATTACTGTATTTTAGATCAAATAAATGCAGCCTTGGTGAGCAGAACTTTTTTCAAAAACATACAAAAATGTACTGTATTTATTTATATGTATATTACTCTATATATTTATATAGACACCCTTCTAAATATATTTGAGTAAAATCCTAGTTTAATTTTAATAGTGGTGGGCATCAAACAAAGAAATGCATTACAATGATGATTAAAATAAATGTAGTGGTTAAATATAAATGAATTCTGACAGACATGGAGTAGTTATGATTTCATGAAATGTGGCATTTAAAAATGTGACATTTGAAACTTTTATAAACAGGATCTTGAGTTGAGTTCAGATTACCTGGGCAGAGACGTGATTTTCCCCCATTTCTCCACACAGAAGCGGCGCGGCCCGTTGCTGCCCCTGAGAGAGGCGAAGCCCTCGTACGGGATACTGGACGTCCCTGTCACAAACTGAGACAACAGAGCCATTTCAGCCCCAGGTCAAGTACACAGACTGTACTCTGTTTTATAAAAAGAGTTTGTGTTGTTTCTCCTTCATCACTCACTTGCAGCAGTCTGAGTCTCTGCTCGTTGTTGAATCTCTCCACTGCCGCCCAGAACCAGCGAATCACGATGTGGTTGTCATGGTAACCTGGAGGGAAAACCAATAAACTTGTCCCAATAAACTCGAGATGTGATCTGTAGGGCTAGGAGACGCTGTAAAAGCCCTCAGTCTATCTGGCGGATAATATTTCAGTCATAAATCAGATACTTCATATCTTGATTCCATGTTTTTTACCACCGTTTTGGACACTACCATGATGGTGGTAATATAAATCTGGTGATCAGTTATTACGAATCTGTCAGTCTGTGGTTACCTCCTCTGTACTCGGTGTTGTTCCTCCAGTCTCCCAGATCGATCTCCGCCGTCCCAGCGATCACCAGCTCCAGCTCCCGCGCATCAAACACCGACACCAGCCGCGCATCTACAACCTGCGGTCAGTTCACAACCATAAAACATCTGCTTCCAGCTCAGTGCCAGCGCTATGAAATATCATGGGAAATTCTGCCTTTTCTTCGATATTACTACTGGAAACCTGTATTCCTGTTGGGTAAGACTATAGTAAATGATGCACCTGAAGATATTACAGAAATGAAACTCGTCAATCATACATTAAACCTAACGTTACCGTGTGCCTTCCCCTGGCCACAGCGAGTTTGGGCAAAAATGCCACTAAATTGGACAAAAATGCCCCTGCACAAACAAATTAAATCTATTACGACTGTTGCTAACAAAATGAAAATTGTGTTGATTGCGGCATTAAATTAAGATCTGCTCATGTTGCACCATATTTCATTTGAAGCGTTTTTACAGTGTTGCGCATTATTATATATCGATACTTTGGATCGATACGCCCATCCCTACTCATCAGTTTTGAGTGCGCTCGCGTTTGCTGACTGAATTCCGGACGCGCAGATGTATGTACAATGTAAGTAAGAGATTAATTTCACAGAGTAGACAGCTTACATGATTATAACGATAGTTTTTTTTTTGAGAGAGCGCTTAAACTCACGATAGATCAAAGTTAGTGATAATGTCACTTTCTGTATAATAATGTATTCGATGTTTGAATAACCTTGGAAAGGAAACGTTTTATAATTATCAATTTCTAATGTTTTTATTAAATTGTAACCACGTTAAATACAAATTAAGCCCCATTAAACATATTTTATTAGGCTACATGACACCCATGTCTGGTTCTTGCCTAAAAAGACGGGTTTATGATGGGTTTTTTTTATTATTTTTTTTATAATGCTTTGTCAACAAGTAGCATGTACAGTGCCATATCTCACTATATAACAAAAACATTTCACATGCCTCAAATTTTATGATGTTTGTAGTTAATAGATTTGGCTGCTTTTAGCCTTACCCTGGAGTTGGTCCACCCTCCGCTTATGCTACCGTGCTGTATTAATTAATTCATCTTCTTTTCTCGATTCATTCAAGGTTACACTAAATAATTTAGGATTTTTAAAAATACATTTCATTCCTCATTGGCAGACATGATCTTTTGTCAGTGATGCTAATTAAAGATAATAAAAAACAGTAGAAAGGAAACATTTATAAGAAAAATTACTGCATGTTCCACAAATAAAAACAACAGTACATGAGAGTGAAAAAAATAATGATTGGATTTTTATATTGTGATCCTGTTCCTTTTGTTGGTTTTCATGATGGAAGTAGGCATTATAATCATATAATGACCAGGCTTACTGAAAGAAATTTGAATGAAAAGCTAACATAATTTGATTAACAACACTGACATTTAAAAATTGACCCTTTGGGTTTTTAATATTGAATTCAAGTATGTGGATATTATGTGCTTATGACTATAACCTTCAGCATCAAGAAATATTTTGTAGATGCTTTCAAGATTGTATGTAGTTGTAACAATACTTAAGATATTAACTAATAATATATAATGCAATTAACTCTTAATATATTGCCAGGTAAGTTAAAGAAAGAGTGACATGAGCACATATGTGAATTTTATGTTTTTTCCCCAATAACTGCTGTTTTCAAAGTTTGAGGTCGGTAAGATTTTTTTTTTTTATGTTTTTGAAGGACATTTTTTACACTTAACAAAGCTGCATTTATTTGATAAAAAATAGAGTAAAAACATTAATATTGCAAAATTATATTACAGTTTAAAATATCTGATTTCTATTTGAATGTATTCAAAATCTAATTTATTCCTGTGATGCAAAGCTGAATTTTCAGCATCATTGCTCCAGTCTTCAGTGTCACATGATCCTTCAGAAATCATTCTAATATGCTGATATGCTGCTCAAGAAACATTTATTATCATCGATGTATATAAAAAAAATGTTTTATTGTTGTAGAAACAGCAATGCATTTTTCATTCTTTGATGAGTAGAACGTTCAAATGAACAGCATTTATGTGAAACAAAAATCTTTTGCATCATTACAAATGTCTTTATTGTCACTTTTGATCAATTTAATGCATTCTTGCTGAATAAAGGAATAAAAAAATCTTCCTGACCCCAAACCTTTAAATGACATGCAAGACTTCTTGCTCTATTAAAGCAAGCAAAAGCACTTGAAATTGCACAACGACCCAAATCTATCAAACAGAAATTCAATAAAAAAGCATTCTGGAATATCTCGGGGCAACTCTACATGGCAGAAGTGGCATGTTTTTATGTGACTGAAAGCTACTGGAGTGCTGATTGGATTTCAGTACCTCATAAAAGCCTCGCACCAGGCTCTCCGTCTGTTGGACGACACCGCGCTCTATACGCCACTTCACCATGCGCTCGATGTACTCCTTCTTATTCTTCTCTGACACGGGGATATTTGCACCGCCAGGCTTCAGCTCGCGCTCTGTGATCTAACACACACACACAAACACGCTTCTCTGAGACGATGGCGCGAGGTTGTGCACGCTTACACAAACAGTCACACACTGACCTGTCCGAAAACCTCCTCGTTGACGGTGAAGGTCAGGTCCAGCATGTCCTCTATGTCATTGTCCTTCATCCACTGAAGACTCTGATGAAACTCCTCATCAAGATACTCCAGATCGCTCAGATCACACGGACTACACACACGTATCAACAAATACATATGAACTTGAAATAATGGCTCTTGTGTAGTCTAGTTCCAGGATTTCTTAAAGAAATGTCAAATTTATGTTAGCATTGGTTAAATAGTTTTTGTTGAAATATTTGTGATATTAAAATAGAGATGCTTATTAAAGGTAATAAAAACTAGAAACATTAGCACTGATGAAATTTTAGGATTATGAGAGAAAAATCTCCCACTGGAAAAAAAACAAACAAACATTAGGGCGAGTAAATAATGGTTGAATGGTTGAAATTATTTATTTTTCATATTTTGTTCTTTATATTTGTTCCTGTCCCTTGCTTTTCTTGATTGAAGCAGGTATTAAACGGTAACATAATCTGATAACAATAACATTTAAAAACTGACCCTTCAAAGATCATAATTATGTAATTAAGCCTTCAAAAACCATAAACATATTACGATAATGACGTGGTAATTACTATAACATTTAGCCTCAATAAATGTTATTAAGTATTTATACACATATTTTAATTTTAAGATTTTATGTAGCCATAACTCTACTTGTATTATTTTTACATTAATATTGTTATACATTTTTACATTTAATATTATTAAATTATATTAACTAACATGAGCACATATATGGATTTTATATTTTAGAATAATTTTACTCCATGCCCGTCAACTTTATAATTTTAAATTATAGATATTTTTTCAAATACACCACCATTCAACATATTATAGTATTACTATAATAACATTTATTATTATGTACCATATTAGCATTAATGTTAATTAAAAAAGAATGACTAAAATGTTAATTTATTATTATTATTACGTTAAATTATTACATTTTGTATTATATTGCTATAAAAAAATTAAAAGTAGTTATACGGCAATAAAATCTTGACACTTAAGCAGAACGCTTGACACTAAAGGTTATTGTCATAGTCACGTCATAATGACAATGTCTACTGGGTTATAATTTTTTTTTTTTAAAAGATCAGTGCTATTAATATATTTAGTTTTGTGTATTTTGTTTTTTATCTACAAATACTAACAAGATCACATTTAAATAACATTCAAATAATGTCCCTGCATTACTTATATATAACTTAATATAATTTTTTTTCCCCGCTAGAATAAAAAACAACTTTTAGAATTTGAATAACTGTCTATTTATTAAAAAATAAAGTGTCAGAAATGTTTAACTCACATTCGCAGTAGGCCTTTGTAGAAGGGTCGTGTGAAGAAGGCATCCAGCAGGTACTGATGGATAAGAGCGAGACCCAGAATACGACCACTAAACCGAAACCTGACGACAGAACATGTTTAAAACATTGAGGTACATTTCTGCTAGTTCAGTCTAGTTGTCACGAATTCGGTCCATGGACTTCCGTTTATTCACCACCAGAGGTCACCCTTTCCATTACATTGACTCTCGCACAACACAAACTGTTGCATAGCACCCCGGACTACATATCCCATCATTCATTGAACGGTTTGCACACTGCACTGATTGCACTCATTGCACACAGCTGTTTCTTATCACCTCACTCACTATATAACACCCACTCAAACTGCCATTCTCTGCTGAGTATTGTTTAGCCCGTACCCCATTCCGAGTCTCTGTGTTTTCCTTGTTTTTGCCTTGCCTGTTTTCGCGGTTTCTGATCTTTGCCTGTTTTCCTGGATTTTTCCCTCTCGTCTCGTCTCTGTGATTCTGTCTGCCGATCGGTGACCTACGCTAGCCCTGGGACTATTCTTGTGTTTTGCCCGCCATATACCTGTTTGCCATTGTTTGACCCTGCCTGTTTACCACGTCTCTTTAATAAAGCCTGCAGATGGATCCACACGTCTCACGTCTCGTCATCTTATAGGCACAGATTGATCAAAGGACCATCTAAATCGTTCTTTTAATGTTGGATGTGCATCGATCAAATCAAATCAAGCTTCAAAACAAAAGAAAATGTGCACTCACCACTCATGGTGGTTGTCGACGAAGGCAGACATGGGGCTGATCTGGACAGTGTAGGTGTCATTGGCTGAATACTCAAACAGGCCGTAGTATGGGTTAAAAAGCTCCCGTGACACCAGAAAGAAAAACTCTCGGGACGGGCCACTGTAGTCCAGTCTGAACGGGAGCAAAATAAAACGAAAAAAAAAAAAAAAGTTAATTAATACAAAAAAAGGAACAATTATAATAAATAATCATCATTAAAATGGTAATAATAATAATCATTGTTATTATTATTACACAATAATAGGCTTGACCATTTATTTTTAATTAAGTATATTTTTATAATGGTTGTTATACAAGTCTGGTTATGTTTTAAAATTGTGGAAACACTGACCCCTCTTCTCCAACAAAGCTGACGTAGAGTTTACTCCTCTGTAGATCTTTGCGAGAGTAGCACATGATCTGATTGAAGGCGTCCTCCAGTAGATGATCCCTGCGGATTATCAACCTAAAACAAGCACAAGTCAGCATGAGTGTGAAAATGTGTTACAAATGAAGACCTCAGGGTACGGTACACATGATGCTTACTTGACTTTGCCTGGACCCTGTCCGTAGCCTTTAGTCTCCAGTTTGCGATAGAAATTCCGAAGTTTGGCTTCAAAGTCCCGTTTGTATGGTGCAGGGGCCCGTGCGTTGGCTCGCTGTGTACCTGAGAGGGAACAGATCATGGTTATAATACAGTACGGCTAAAAAAAGTGACTCAAAATCAGCATCTTGTTATCAAACATAAATACATGTATATTATGCAGAAAATGTATAGATTATGCAGAAAAAAATCAGGTTTTATTTGTCAAATCTGATGACAAATGAGATGTCTTTTATATATCAGATGTTTCTCCTAGAGCCAGACTATTTGATTTAAACATAAAATTAATTAAATACTGAGATCACCATCAAATATTGTGACACTATACTACAAGAGCGACCTCTGAGCAATGAAAACATCCACTGGGAAAATAAATAAATAAATATTACTACTACTACTAAAAATAATAATAATAATAATTATTATACAGGGTTAAAAATTTATTTGTTTTCTTGAGATATAAAAGAACAACCTTTGAACTATAAAAATATGAGGGATAAATAAAATAAATAAATACTACCACTACTACTACTACTACTACTAAAAAAAAAAAAAATAATAATAATAATAATAATAATTATTATTATTATTATTATACAGGGTTAAAAATGTATTTGTTTTCTTGCGATATAAAAGAACAACCTTTGAACTATAAAAATATGAGGGATAAATAAAATAAATAAATAAATAAATATAAATATTATTATTATTGTTGTTATTAAATTGGATATGGTCCGAAACTCTTTTATTTTTCAGTATAAGTCCAGTTAAAGTTTATCAGAACGGTTTCTATTCAAACAACAAAAAATTTTTTTAAAAAAAAGACAGAACCCCCTCTAACCAGTGAACAGTGTAATCCCTCAGTGTCAGCGGTGACTAAAGTCAGATCATGTTGAGTTAGACCATGATTCCCCTCTGGCACCGTGATGTCCGCCACACTCCAAACAGACTTGTGAAAATCAGAGTGTCAGTATAACGGTTAAAAACCGTTATACTGCAGGGATTAACCAGAAACCCTGGACTCCAACTACACATCAAATCCCAAACAGCGGATTTGATGCTTTGGCAGCTAACTGCAAAAATACCCAGGAAATCTGGTCGACTGCATGTCAAGCTCTACAAGCAAACTAAAGCAATGCTGTGGAGGGATGGTGGAACCAGAAACACAGTCTCTTGTGTTTGCAATTATAATCATCTTTTCAAACACTATTCATAAATGTTTCTTGAAAGTTTTTCGATGCGACTGAGAGGAACTGACCAGGAGAGTTCTGAGGGGAGGGGACCGGAGACCCTCGAGGTGACTGACAGTAGCTGGGGTGCAGTAAGGCATGAGGTGGCACATACGACATCACTTCCTCTTCAAACAAGCTATAGAAAGAAAAAGAGACAAAGATTGTTAGTGTTTGGAGGCAAACACATGTATCCTGAAAAAAACAAAATTACTAAAATACATTTACCCAAGAAGCCAAATTTGCTTCATTAAACCTTGATCATATTTGCTAAATTAAATCCAATACTTGTTTGTTACTAATTTTGGGGTGCTGATTCCAAATATTGTGTCTGTTTTGCAAGAGCATGCCTCACTTGCTCATGAAATATGTGTATTTTGTAGTATTTTTGCTTTTGATAACCATCTGTAGACATCTTGTATTGTCTCTTTATCACCAGACAAACTGCCACAAAGGCATGAGTCCTGTCTTCCTCTGAGCAAGATCACAATTATTTGTTCAATTCTCAGCTCATTTTCCCATATATGCATGATTTTATATAACACGACTTTATATCTAATACTGATTTCAAGGTTAGATTTATGACCAGTGACAAGAAAATGCAAAGATGACCCAGATGTTTTCTGCTACATCTGTGGGTTTCACTGCATCCAAACAGCAACAGGTTGATTTTTTGTTTTTGCTTATTTTGTAAAGTGCTTAGACATTAAATGGAGCATTTAAACACATTTTTCCACTCCTTTGCAGATTATAAGTTAAATCATACATTTTGAATAATTCTTTTTCTCATTAAATCTTTTGACATGTGCCTGCTTTTTCATTTTGATAAATGCATTAAAGCTGAAACATACATAATTTGAAAAATTCTCATATATATGTTATGTAAAAACTATATGTGATGAAATTTTATAATTGATATTAACAATCATCAAATTAGGTAATATTAGGCATTTTTTTGCAAATCAGTAGGAATTCGCTATTAGGAACTGTTAGATTTTGAGCTTAAACCTTACTAAATGTATTATTTCATATTTTCTTACAGCCATGTTTTGCAGGGTAAAATTAGCAGAAATCACTGGAAAAGTACCTAAGCAAAATCACCAAGTCTGCGTCGCTGGAGAGGCGAGCTAAACCCGACGCTCCTTCATTACGAATAAACTGGACCTTCTCCCTGTAGATCAGAAAAGTCAACATTTTCATAATCAATAGCTCAGGACTGAGGTTTGTTTTGTAATATTTCGGAGTCTCACCTGAGTGAGTGATTCCTAATGAGCTCAGGCTGCCTCTCCTGAAGGATCTCAAATATGTTCGGCTGCCGCAAAAATGCCACGATTTTCTCATTATAGGCTATAAAGAGAGGAACAGAGCCATTGGTGAAATGTCAAACGAAGACTCTTCAAAAGTTATAACACCTTTGTGGCACCACATTTTTATAAAACGATGCATTATGGAGGATTTAACAAGGTGAACACATCAAATTCCGTCTAAAAACTTTCTGATGAAGCTTGGCTTGTAACGACTCACCAACAGGAACTAAATCTTGACACTGGTTGCGATTGGCTGTGAAGGTGTTTGAGGGGCGTGGCAGTACAGCGGGTCCAGCATGCCGAGGGTCATCGCCCACCTGTAGCACAAAAACAAAACCATTATGTACTTCACATCCACACCACGTCACACAAGAAAAGACCAGCTTACTGCAGAAAAAACAGTATGTATCGAATCGCAGGATTAAACGCCTTTCCATTTGATATGTATATTTATATGTACATTAATTAAGTCAACTTACAATACACATTATAGAAAATCTTTATACAAAATCATGTATATACATATATCTATCTAATAAAATAAAAAAATGCATAATGAACAATTTTTTTTTTTTAAATTACTAAATATTTGTTATAAAATTTAAATATGCATACAGGCATATAATGCATATTAGTTTTAAAAAAAAACAGTTTTTTGTGTGTTTATATAAAATAATGTTTTAAAAGATTAATGTGCAGATTAATATTTATTTTATCTTTTTTTTAGATTAAACATTAATTTATACATATATTAAAAAGTACAAATATTATATATATTTATTTTTGTACTTTTTAATATACATGCATAAACACAATGCTTAATATGTTTATTAATATTACAAAAGATTGAAAATAATATTAATATGCAACAATAAATTTATATAAAATTATACACACACACACACACATTATTATACACACATGCAAAATAGTAAAGCCTTCAAAGACAGATCCATATATTAATTCATTAAGCTGCAACATTGTCGTTTTCGTGTAAATACTGAATTGCAAGGCTTCAGCTGCTTTTGCATAATTCACTGGATATTTGCTCCCTAGTGAGTGTACTTTAAAGATGAAAGCTTCATTAAGGGCCCTCTGACTAAAGATCTGACAGCTCTTTTGCTAAAGCTGAGTGGATTGTAAAACTTTCTTGGCCTTTATTCCCGAGGTGTTTATATGAGGAGGGGGACTTTTTTTAATTAAGTGGGCTAATTTGCATTTTTATGTTATGTTAAGACACAGAGGATTTAAAGATTAGTGGAATAATATTTAGACCAATATGTTTACATGCATCCGCATATGGCCCACTGATAAACACACACACACACACACACACACACACACAGGGGACTGTGGGTGGACTGATGTGAAAATGACACAGTGCATGCTGGGACGCAGCGGAGGCCGACGTTATGAAATTAATCAGCATATCTAAAGAGGCCTGAGAGGGCGATCTGTTCTCCACACGGCCACGATGTGACAGAAAATCAGATTCCCTAATGAGAAACCTGCTGAGAATATTCTATGATGTAAAGATTAATGGGAAACTGCTACAACTACAAATATATTCATTAGTATATCTGGCTACTGTCCCACGCTATCCTTAGCATTTTATTATTGGTTAAATAAAGGTTTGTTATGATCAGCACTACTGTTCAAAAGTTTGAGGTCAGTAAGGTTTAAGAATATTTTTAGAAAGAAGTCTCTTACGCTCACCAAGGCTGAATTTATTTGATAAAAAATACAGTACAAACAAATAATATTGGGGAATATTCTTACTATTTAAAATAACTGTTTTCTATTTTAATATATTTTAAAAGCATTATTACTCCAGTCTACAGTGTCACATGATCCTTCAGAAATCAGTCTATATTAGCAGCTCAAAAACATTCTTATTGTTATCAATGTTGAAAACAGTTGTGCTGCTTAATATTTTTGTTAAAACCATAAAGCATTTTTCAGGATGTTTTTTTAAATAGTAAGTTCAACAACATTTATTTGGAATTAAATCAACAAGTTTATCTGAGATTTAATGCATTCATTTCCTAAAACAATACAATTTGGAAATGTATTTAAACTATATTTTTGCTAAACTAAATTGGTTTCTAGGGTGTTGTGAATGTTTGGCTAAATGAAAAGAGCCTCAAAGTGTAATGCTTAGGGCTAGAGGTTTATTCAAAACCATTCTGCAATGATAACTGGTGCAAACCACGTGGGAGGAGCTTGGATTCTAATCTCAAGCGTCTGATTGGAGGAGACCTCTAGTGGCGTGTGTATGGAAGGCTCACCAGGCGTCGTGTGCTCACCTCCCCTGCGCTGTGGCTGCGTTGGCGGCTGAGGTGCTGGCGGTGGGCGAGGAGGCTGCTGGGTCGAGGGCTCTGCAGGGGCAGTCGTGGGTCTGTGAAGCTGGTCGCCCTGCAGTTATGGTCCACGAAGAAAGGCTGAGAAGAAGACACAGTAGGTTGAGGGATTTAAAACCACAAACGTGACGCTTATATTCATGCTGAAGCACTTACATGAATGCACCAGTAAAAACATTAACACATAAAATATTTACAGTAATCGTTACGGTTGTATTTTTAAAGCATATTTTAAACATTTATCTGCGGTATGTCTGCTTTCCTGCTAAGCTTCCATTATAAGTGTATTACTGTAAAGCACTTCCCGACAGATCAAAATGATTTTACATGGCAATTGACAACTAGCCACTGATGAATATATTATGAATTTACTTTCAATACATATTAGTAATTACGCTGATTAATATAAAATATAATATAATAATTATATATATATATATATATATATATTAAATACAGGGGACTAAATGTAAAAGTAGTCAAACACAGAAAAGAAAGCTAGTAAATGACAGGCATATGAGCACAAAAAGAAAAATAATTATGTACATTATATATGGATGTTAACTGTAATTGTAGGTACATGTCACAGTTATGGACTTTAGTCTGGGTAGTTTCTGTTGGTACCTCCCAGTTCCTGTTTGCCCTTATTTGGGTCTGTTCCTGATCTCATTAGTTCATCATTGGTTAATACTCACCACCTGTCTGTCCCTCATTGGTTTCCCATTTAAGCTCCCTCCTAAGTTCTTTGAGTACCCTGTGTGCTATTGTTCTTCATGTGGATTCATCATTAAAGAATTTACTATTTGGATTATCGTCATCTTCTTTTGGCTTCTTCATCGTCGTCCTAGCAGCAGTGTGACTGACTATCTATCTATCTATCTATCTAAAATTAATACTTTTATTCAGCAAGGATGCATGTATAGAATATATATATATATATATATGCTGTTTTTTAACTTCTTAATTAATCAAAGAATCCTTAAAACAAAAATATTATTATCAAAATAATAAGTGTTTATTGATTATTAAATCAGCATATTAGAATAATTTCATAGGGATCATGTGACACTGACGTCTGGCGTAATGATGCTGAAAATACAGCTGTGATCACAGAAATAATTACATTTTAAAATATATTTAAGTAGAAAACATTTATCTTAATAATATTTCCCAATATTACTGTTTTACTGTGTTTTTAATTAAAATAAATACAGCCTTGGTGAGTATAAGAGCCTTTTTTCAAAAGCATGAAAAAAATCTTACCACCCCCAAATTTTTTTATTTTTTGCCATATCTCATGTTCATATTCATATTTTATGGCCAAAAAATAAATAAGATTTTATTTAGAAATGCACAGTAAAATTAAAAGCAGTGGGTAGAAAAAATGGCTGAAAAGAGAGACAGAGACAGCGATACATATCCAGAATGTGAAAACACAGAACGCAGAGAAGATGTTTCCAGACCTTTCCCGTGTGGTCGTGTTTCATTTCCCAGCCCCGCGGGAGATCCAGCTGTTTGTTGGCGAACATGTTGAGGAAGGCAACCAGGTCTCGATTGTGCTGGTAGCGCTCAAAGTGGTGCGAGTCCCGTCGCACTTTACTGATCATGTGTTTTAGACACGTGTTACTTGTAAACATGCGGTAGGCACTCTGAGAAAGAAAAAAACAACAGACAAGAGTGTTTCGTAGTGTTTAAGTAATGCTAATTGCCTTCTAAAAATTAAAAATGCAACAAAATGACTTTAACAACAATATAACATACTTTCGAAAGTAACGGTCGCCAAAATTAATGATGGAACCAGATGATGGGTTTGTGAAAAAACACCACAACCACAAAATTCCTTCAAGGGATGGAAAATTGGCTTGTGGTAAAAAAGTGTGAATAATGAATGTGTTTGGAGACTAACAGGGTTGGAATGCAGTACGGTGAAGAAATCCGGGCTGGTGAGAAACTTGGCGCTGGGGGACTGAAGCAGCAGAGACAAGCGCGAGCGAGAGCTAGCGGGCCCAACCACGCCGTCCCGACGGTACTCTGAAAGAGAGGACAACCATAGTGTGATATGCATGTTGGCTTAAATCAAAAGATCTGTTTTTCTCTATTGCATATTTCCTTGTATCTATCTAAGCAGACTCATCTGAATGCAGTGCATGTATGTGGTGTGTGAGAGAGTACCAGGAATGGAGGGATGCAGCAGGTCGTTTTCGTCTGTAGGCATCTCTGCAGCCTGTTCGTCTGTCCTCTCATTGGTTATTGTCCTCCGAATACTCTGATACCTGAACAAAACAAAGGGATACATTTATTGGTATACTGTATGTGGACGTATTTTTCACAAGATAATCTTTTTACATTGATAACTGTAATTTATCATTCTTAATTATATTTTGTTGCTTCTGTAATGTATTTATTATTTCAGCCTACTTTACCGTTTTAAATTAATAATGAAAATGTTTTTTTTATTTTATAAAATACTAAAATATTAATCAGACATGTTAATCATATATGTATAATTTTATTTTTAACAGAAAAAATGTAAACAAATACTCTGTATAATAAATATGGATATTAATATATGTATTAATACTTTTATTCAACAAGGATGCATCAAATTTATAAGAAATTACAGTAAAGTTACAAAAGATTTTTTATTTAAAATAAATGGTTCTTTTGAATTTTCTATTATAATTCTATTGTATCAAGGAATCCTGAACAAATACGGTTTTCACAAAAAATATGATATTATTCTGTAATGTATTTATTATTGCTCAATTAGTAATTTCTATTTCAGCCTACTCTACCATTTTAAATTAATAATGAAAAAAATGTATAAAATAAAATACTAAAAATTAAGTAATCATATATGTATATTATTTTTAAAGGAAAAAATACTCTGTATAATAAATATGGATATTAATATATGTATATATTAATACTTTTATTCAACAAGGATGTTTTACATTTATAAGAAATTACAGTAAAGACATTTATGTTACAAAAGATTTATATTTAAAATAAATGCTGTTTTTATTATTATATTCTATTGAAGAATCATGTGGTTGAAATATTATGGTTTTCCCCAAAAAATTAATAAATATTAGGCAGCACGTTTATTAAATGAAAAAAATATATATATTGAAACAAACATGATTATGAGAATTTTTTCTTGAGCACCAAAACACAATAATACAATTATTTCTTCAAGGTAAACATAAGTAATTATAAATATTTTATTTGAATTTAATTTAAAGCAAATAATACTGGCAAATGAAATCAAATGGATGATGCTAAAGTAAATTAAATTAAATTAAATTAAATTAAATTAAATTAAATTAAATTAAATTGAATTGAATTGAATTGAATTGAATTGAATTGAATTGAATTGAATTGAATTGTCAAACCTGTGAATCAGAAAAATGTATGTCACAAACAATTCTCGCCAGTCATGACATTGCATTTTGCATAATTTTTTAGCTGAGAAGGGAATATTCCACATACGTTCCTAGACTTAAAAAAAGCTTGATTTGAATCTCATTTTCACTGACATTTTATGCTTGGCAAACTGTTAACTTTGGATGCTGTACACAGCTATGCTACCATTGCTTTTCCAAGTGAAATGCATGCTAATCAAGCAAAATAAATTGAAATCAAGTTGAGGGAGAGAAAGCAGACGAGAGAGCGTGAGAGATGTTTTGAAAGAGCATGATAACGGCAGAACAGATTAGGTTGCTGTGGTGACTGCTGGGTGACATTTTTAAAGAGCTGTTTTTCCATAGAAGCGAGGATTAACAAATGGCATTTCAGACTTCAGAGATATTGGAACTTAAGGTCACTGTGTTCTCAAAACTCACCTCCTATCAGAAGTCACTCAAATCAAGGCTGACTTCATGCCATCTTGATAGATATCTGCTGGTGTGAACATACTGACCTTCGGTTGAGCTGCTCCATCTGCTGAATGGAGTTGGATCTCTGTAGGACCTGAGGTGCAGCTGGAGCAGTGGGCCGCTGCCAGGTGGTGGTTCTGTTCACATGATCCACATAGAAAATCCTGCCGTGACTGTCTATACGAGCTTCCCAGTCTACAACATACACATTTAAAGTCCACTTATAATGTTATAATCAAACATAATAATATAATGAGCATCATTTCAAAAGATCAAAAAGTAAATCAAATGTTCCATGATTATGTCCCCTTTAGGACAGGCTGGGTGAATCTCAAACAAACACAAAAATATTCTCTCACTTGGTGGAAGAGGCTCGTCTACTCTCTGATAGCGGCTGATGTCGTGACGGACTGAAGGAAGAGACTGCATCGGCTGATGGCCGTTCACTTGAGCACTGGCTCCTTCAGAAGGACAAGATGGGTTATTTGTGTTGTGAACAATCAATGAAAACATACTGTACATATATTATACACAAATTATATAAAGCCAGATAATAAGTTAATTATATTTTATATGAATAGAATTAATATTTGATTAATAATAATATATTGACTTAAAAAAAAAATTTATTTTACATAATGTTATTTTATATACTATAAAAATATAATATTTTCTATTTTAATATTATAATAATAATTATCATTATTCACATTATTATATTTTTTAATAATGAATAATTCATTCTTATTTTTCTTTATTGTAATATGTATATGTTTCGTATATTTTTATTATTGTTGGTGGTGGTGGTGGTAGTGGTGCTGTTGTTGATATATACAATTTTATATTTTTATATTATAAATATGATATTATTAATCTTCCTAATATTTAAATAACAAAAATATTTTAATAATAACAATTATTATTTTTATTTATGGTGACATTAATTTTGCATATATGTTATTAATATTATTATTATTAACAACAACAAATCAGACATACTATTTTATATTTTAATATAATACATATTATTTTTAATATTAATATTATTCGTGTTCTTAATAATATGATATATTTTATTTTAATAATAACATAATTATTATTCGTATTTATTGTACTTATTACTATTATTATCAGCATTAACAACAACAAATTCATGCTTTTTTATAAAAAATATATATTAAAATTGTTCTTAACAGTTATTAATAGTTAATATTTATTTCAATAAAATAATATTTGTAATAAAATATTTTAATGAAATATATATTTTAAATCCCTTTAATATTATAATATTAGATCATATTAATATCATAATATTATTATTTATTATAATAATGTTATCTTTTTTATTTAATGTGCAGAAAAGTTATAACTGATGGTAAAAGCTGATGGAGGATTGATAACCACTGTCATAAAATTCCCCTATGCCTTCCTAATGCTGATTTAGTATATAAATAACACAGGAAGTTACCTGTCTCTTCATCTGTTACTGTGGCAGCCTGTGCTGCGTCAGCTGCCCTTCTCACTTCATTGGTTAATTCCACCCCTTCAGCCTGTGATGCGTTCCCTGATGCTTGCAGACTCCGCCTCCTCTGCCAGATTCCGGCATCTTCCTCCTCCTCATTGGCCATCTCGCTGGTGTTCCCCTGCTCTGGCTGCTTAGCTGCTGTGGCTCCGCCCCCTTCACTAGCTGCATTACTGGCAGATACTGAGGACTCTGTGACTGTAGCGGCCTCTGATGATCCTTCATCCCCAGTGACCGCCTTGGGTGCAACTCCTTCCTCATCCTGGAAGAAATGGATTATGTATAATGATGCAAAGGAAGAACAACAATACAATTACAATACAAATTGGGGAAATGATGATGATGATAATTATTATTATTACTTAAAATGATGGCTGAGATATGTAAAAAAAAATGCAGGTTTATGCTTGAATCAACCAAATAATTTCTACTTAAAATAAATAATTTATGGAATATATTTTCTTTTCCATGCAGGTTTTAGATAGATAGATAGATGGATAGATGTATAGATGTATAGATGGATAGATGGAGAGATGTATAGATGTATAGATGTATAGATAGATAGATACATAGATAGATAGATAGATAGATAGATAGATAGATAGATAGATAGATAGATAGATAGATAGATAGATAGATAGATAGATAGATAGATCCCTTAACATAGATAGATAGATAGATGTATAGATGTATAGATGTATAGATGTATAGATAGATAGATAGATAGATAGATAGATAGATAGATCCCTTAACATAGATAGATAGATAGATGTATAGATGTATAGATGTATAGATGTATAGATAGATAGATAGATAGATAGATAGATAGATAGATAGATAGATAGATAGATAGATAGATAGATCCCTTATACAGTATCTACCTCATCTTAGGATGCAAAAAAAGTTATTTTGTACATTTTATATTTTTGTATTTACTTAAATTATTACAAAAGTTATGTTTACATAAACATCTGTGGACAAAAATGAACTGTAAGAGACTCGGAGGATATAACTCTGTTAATAAAAGCTCATACATAATAGATCCTCGCAGCTATATTTCAATAGTGAATACTGACCCGGCTGTATGTCTCTCCAGCAGTCTCTGCACTGGCATTGTCAGCTGACCTAAAAAGCGTTTGATGATCGGGCGACTTTTTGCAAATTTGTCCTTGACCTCAATTTCCAAAACGTCCGTCATCAGAGCAACAAAAGTGTACTTCTGCAGGCCAGGGGAAAAGAAAAGTAGTATGAAAATTAAGGTTTACAGTTCTGTTTTTGTGCAGGGGAAGTAAAATAATAATCAATCTTACAGTATATTCAATCTTATATAAGATAACAAAACTTTACTCTTGTTTACTTTAAATATACCTTTTGCAAATGTACCATGGTAGAATTCTTAAAAATACATCTCAAGTACCTTGTAAATGCATTGATATGTTTATCATTTAGTACCATTCACTGTGTTTTTATAATAAAGAAAAATGTTTACATTTAGGAGATGTTACCAACTTATAGTGCAGTCATTTCTGGAGAAAGGGCACTGTGCTCAAGGGCACTATGCTTTTACTGAAAACTTCTTGTTTCAGAGTCACCCCTACTTGGTTACATCCCATTAACTTCTCAGCTCTTCACAGTGGACTGACAGCAGGGACGTCACCCTGCAGCATCTAGAGGTTAAGCGCTGAAGAAGTGAACACAAACAGCACACCTCATTATCCATGATCACATATGAATATGAATTACCTCTCCGTGCCACACAGGGTTAGTGGTGTTGGATATGATGGAGGTTCGTCTCTCCTGGCCGTGGTGAGTGAATGTAGGGAAGCCGTTCCTCTTGCCTGGCTGAATGCTCATCTTCAGATAGGGGTCCGGATTAAAAAACATGCCCTTCTTCAGACCCTGAGCCCTGATATCTGCAAAACACACACACACACACACACACACACACACAATGTGAGCTAGCAGCATCAGGAAATTATCTATCTATCTATCTATCTATCTATCTATCTATCTATCTATCTATCTTCACAAAATATTAAGTTGTTTTCAACTAATAAATGTTTCTTGAGCAGCAAATCAGCATATTAGAATGATTTCTGAAGGATCATGTGAGTAATGGTGCTGAAAATTCAGCTTTGCATCACAGAATTAAATTACATTTAATAAAATATATTAAAATAGAAAATAGTTCATTTAAATAGTATTAATATTTCACAACATTTCCATTCGTACTGTATTTTTAATCAAATAAATGCTGCCTTGGTGAGCATAAGAGGCTTCTTTCAAAATCATTTTTAAAAAAAAGATATCAACCCCAAACTTTTGAGTGATATTGAATGTATAAATAAATATACTGTAATCTGTACCTTCATGTCCGTTGGAGGTGATCTCCACCCTGAAGTGAAGCTGTCCACTCACATGTTCTGTCGGCAGACGACGACAAAGCGTGTAGCTCACATGTTGATCCCTTTTTTCAAAAAAATAAATAAATAAATAAAAATCACACTGCATAAATGTATATGATCTGTAATAAGCATACAAAGGTATTGTACCAAATACAGTATCTACCTCATCTTAGGATGCAAAAAAAGTTATTTTGTACATTTTATATTTTTGTATTTACTTAAATTATTACAAAAGTTATGTTTACATAAACATCTGTGGACAAAAATGAACTGTAAGAGACTCGGAGGATATAACTCTGTTAATAAAAGCTCATACATAATAGATCCTCGCAGCTATATTTCAATAGTGAATACTGACCCGGCTGTATGTCTCTCCAGCAGTCTCTGCACTGGCATTGTCAGCTGACCTAAAAAGCGTTTGATGATCGGGCGACTTTTTGCAAATTTGTCCTTGACCTCAATTTCCAAAACGTCCGTCATCAGAGCAACAAAAGTGTACTTCTGCAGGCCAGGGGAAAAGAAAAGTAGTATGAAAATTAAGGTTTACAGTTGTGCAGGGGAAGTAAAATAATAATCAATCTTACAGTATATTCAATCTTATATAAGATAACAAAACTTTACTCTTGTTTACTTTAAATATACCTTTTGGAAATGTACCATGGTAGAATTCTTAAAAATACATCTCAAGTACCTTGTAAATGCATTGATATGTTTATCATTTAGTACCATTCACTGTGTTTTTATAATAAAGAAAAATGTTTACATTTAGGAGATGTTACCAACTTATAGAGCAGTCATTTCTGGAGAAAGGGCACTGTGCTCAAGGGCACTATGCTTTTACTGAAAACTTCTTGTTTCAGAGTCACCCCTACTTGGTTACATCCCATTAACTTCTCAGCTCTTCACAGTGGACTGACAGCAGGGACGTCACCCTGCAGCATCTAGAGGTTAAGCGCTGAAGAAGTGAACACAAACAGCACACCTCATTATCCATGATCACATATGAATATGAATTACCTCTCCGTGCCACACAGGGTTAGTGGTGTTGGATATGATGGAGGTTCGTCTCTCCTGGCCGTGGTGAGTGAATGTAGGGAAGCCGTTCCTCTTGCCTGGCTGAATGCTCATCTTCAGATAGGGGTCCGGATTAAAAAACATGCCCTTCTTCAGACCCTGAGCCCTGATATCTGCAAAACACACACACACACACACACACACACACAATGTGAGCTAGCAGCATCAGGAAATTATCTATCTATCTATCTATCTATCTATCTATCTATCTATCTATCTATCTGCACTAGCAGCTCATTGCCACAAGAGGGCAGATATATAGAGTTTTAATTAATAAAACAACACCACTTTATGTCAGATTGTATATTTCCTTAGAATGAGATGCATTTCAAATCACTGTAAAATTATTCTTGAAAATTAAAATCATTAAGCCAAAATAACTATATTACTTGGTGCATGAATTGTTTTTTGATACTAAAAAATATTATTATTATTATTATTATTTTTTAATTACACTACCTTTTTTTTTTTTTTTTTGAAAAATATGAATATTAAATTGATTAAAAGTGACAGTCAAGCCATTTGTAATATTACAAATATTTCCATTTCAAATAAATGCTGTTCTTTTGAACTTTCTAACTATCAAAGAATCCTCAAAAATGGATCACAGCATCTACAAACATATTAAGCAGCACACGTGTTTTCAACACTGATGATAATAATTAATATTTTTGAGCAGGAAATCAGCATATTAAAATGATTTCTGAACGATCACTGAAGGACACTGAAGACTGGAGTAATGATGCTGAAAATTCAGCTTTGATCACAGGAATAAATTACATTTTAAAACATATTAAAGAAGAAAACTATTATTTTAAATTGTAATCATATTTCACAATTTTACTATTTTTGCTGCATTTTTTAATCAAATAAATGCAAACTTGGTGAGCAGAAAATACTTTTTTCAAAAACAATAAAATCTTTTGAACTCTAGTGCAATTAAATCAACAAATTCTATTTAAAATACAAAATATATAAAATTTTAAATATGCATTGTTTGTTGTTACATTAAACTACATTTTTAAACATCTATTTATTAGTCAATATAAAAATGATTTATTTACATTTTTATTTTTTGAATTAATAAATTGTCAGTGGAGCACCAAGTCCTGCATACTTTCAGTGCTACAACTCTAAAATAAATCTATTTTTGTCCCTTTTTGATATTTATAATTCTGAGTGAAAGCATAATTCAAAGAGTGCCTGATCAACAGGAGCATTTCGCAGCTCAACAACTCAACTAACACTTTTAAATCCAAAAGTCAACACAAACTTACTGTAACTCCAGGGTTCTTGACAGTGATGCAGGGTGTTATGGCCCTCAACGCTCCACTCACTCCATGGTAATATTTGAAACAGATTTTGGTCTCAGCTGAGAAATATAAATACAAGATCATGTTTCTCAAATATTTTAAATATAAACAACACATATCTCCATTATTATTCTCATATAATAACATACTTTTATCATTGTTTCAGTTTCAGCCAGCATGTTCATAGACCATCTAATCCATAATGAACACAAAAATGCCAAGAGCTTTCTCAAAAGGCAAGCTGTAATCTGATTGGCTGGCTTTATGTAATTCCCAGGAATCAATGTGCACAGGATTTATCAGTCTGCTGAGAAATAAAATGGTGTTTTCAAGTTCCTAGGCTGCAACACTGAAGAAAATAATGGTATAGAAACAATTTTCACTCAGAAA